CTTTATACATTTCATTAATACTTATTGTTTCTACATTACCGCCATACATTCCATTCTTTCCCATGAATGTTCTGTACTTTTCGACATTTGGAGTTTAGATGCAGACCTGAAAACAGTGCTACAGTCTTCCGACTGCGCTTGTGCCTGCTACGTCACACGCAGACGGGGCCATCTGTCTTTAAATCGCGGCGGGGCTGCAGAATGATTTCACCAACTTGGTTTCCATCACTCACATGAGGGGGTATTGTCCTCTGCAAGTTTTTTTTCCTTGGCACTAAAGCCCAATGGGCCTAGGCCTACCTCCATGAACTTCTCCGTTCACTTCGGTTTTTCTAGATCTTACACATTCTGTAGGACTCCTTGGGCGGGTGATCAGCTCGTCGCAAGGCCTCTACCTGTACACAAACGCAGAAAAACGCACACACACAAATTAACATCCATGCCCTGAGTGGGATTCGAACCCACGATCCCGGTTTCCAAGCGAACGAAGACAGTACATGCCTCTCTGCGAGTTACGCGGCAATAAATAAGTTGTAATAAGAACACTTTCAGCTTCGCTCTCGTCAAGCCACAATGCCCTGTATTTGCTATAGCGTCTTGCTTTGATTTTCCTCATTAATATTGAACCAAGGTCTTCCCTGCTTCTCTTAAACTTGCACTTTCTGCGGTGTCAGTGAGCTCGAATCACTACATCATCATCTTAATCTCCACCTGTTCTCCGGTTCTGCTCTCACTAAAATCTTTGTCACAGAAAATTTGCGTTTCCATTTTTTTATAAATAAACAGTGAACAGTGACGTTCTTGATCCTCCTCCACTTCCTTTTTTCCATTCTTTTTTAAACGCAGCAAATTCGAATTTCTTTCCATGCCCCGACCTCTTTTAAAATATGCCGCTCTTGACGAATATACAACTTTGATCCAAAATGTCAAAAATGGTTGTTGCTATCAGTGTACAACAAACTGAAATACACACGTATCCTTCAAGAATAACTGCTATTTATTTTTATTTCTCTCTCTCTCTCTCTATGGCTTTACAGACCTTTGGACCTTGGCCATTTTTTCGGTTTCTTAATCCTATACACAGTCGATAGGATTCAATGGACGAGGGATCAGCGCGTCCCAAGTTCGCTACCTACACACAGAACAACACAAACACAGAATAAACGTATACAGGCATCCATGCCTCGAGTGGGATTCGAACACACGACCCCAGTGTTCGATCGGGCAAAGACGGCTCGTGCCTTACGATAAACCGTTTTGTGTTGAATTGCATGCAGGTACTTCCATAGGTTTGCCTTACTTCTAAGTTGGGATTTCAGAAAGTATTATGTTCAAAGTCAAGATTTAAACTGCAATTTGTTTCCTATTTATTATTATTATTATTATCGGAGGGGGTGGGTTTCCCCATGCACCGCGACTAATAGTCTATTGTACGTCCCCCTTTGATATTCTACCAGTCGCCATACCCTTCCGGTACTGGTGCTCGCTATCAGCCCCGTTCAGCCAGCGAGGCTGACAGTGGGACCTGATACTTCCCCATTTACCGGAGGCATTGGAAACTACTTGGGAGGGAAACTTTGCCTAATTTTGCTCAGAGGTCTCCTAGAGACATGAGGATCTTTTACGTGCCGTAAATCTACGACGGCTTAAAGTCCCTCCCGGAGGACTTTTTCCCTGAATTTTTCCGCCCTTAAAAATTCTACGACCTCCGCCGGGTTTGAACCCTCGTACCTTGAGTCATGAGGTGGGAACGTTACCCCTAGGCTACGGAGGCCGCTAATTTGTTTCCTAAGTTCAAACACTGTTTCCCTAAGACTGGTGGTTATGGACACATTAATGCAACGTGGATGGCCAGAGCGTTGCTAGGTAACTGACCATTAAACACCTCGAGACCGAATACACGCAAGGCAACAATAGAAGTACGGCGATTTTTATGTGGTCGGCGCCGAGACCGCTGCTATACAACGTCGTGGTGAACACTCCTTTACAACAACAGAGGCTGTTTTCTGTGCGTGGTCGGTGCGAAGGCTTTATAACGAGATTCCAGGAATAACCAAGGCAATTATCAAAATTGCAATTCTCGAACAGTTCGACCAAACTTATTGGGTCATTTTTCTCTCAACATAAATTCAGGGTTTCGGTTGAAGGAGAAATGTCAAAGCCAAGGGAAATGCAAGCAGAAGTTCCACAAGGTTCGGTACTGTCCCCTACTCTTTTCTATCTGTACATTAATGATGCCCCCCCAAACTCACGGTGTTCACCTGGCCCTCTTTGCGGACGACACCTGTCTGCATGCGACAGATCGCAAGGAGGGATTTATTGTCAGAAAACTCCAACGCGGTCTCAGCTCAATGGAGACCTGGTTTGAGAGCTGGAACATTAAAATTAATGAAGATAAGACTCAGGGGGTCTATTTCTCTCGTAGTCGTCGACCGCCTGAGTCTAGTCTTACACTAAAGGGACGAAATATTCCATTTGTAAATAGCGCAAAATGTTTACGTGTCATCTTCGATAGCAGAGTTCCATGGAGATTGCACATAGAAATTATCGAAGCCAAGGCCTTTAGAACATTCATTAGAGTATATTCCCTATTCAAAAGTGAGCGATTGAGCGCTAATATTAAACTGACCCTCCACAAATTTCTCATTAGATCCGTAATGACTTATGCTAGTCCCGCCTGGGAATTTGCGGCAGACACCCATCTAATGAAATTGCAGCGCCTGCAAAACAAGGTTCTCCGCACCATTGGCAACTTTTCAAGGCGCACACCGGTCCGCGATTTGCACATGGCATTTAAAATCCCGTACGTATATGACTATATAACAGAATTATGCAGGAAACAAGCAGAAGTCATACAAAATCATGAAAATGAGAATGTTCGCAACATCGGACAAGGAGAAACCCGACACAGAAAGTATAAGAGGCTTAAACTCGGCGGCGGTCAGGCATACGACTAGACTGCCGTGGTAGCGAATACTACTAGAAATGGGGCAAAATCTGCTCTACTGAGCCTGGATTGACAGAGGCATTGTACATATATATTGTACATAGAAATAGGAAATAAGATTAAGTTTGTAAATATATGTAAATACTGACAATGGGCTTACTAATACGGACTTTGACTGACAAATGACAGACCCGACCTCTCGTCAGAGAGGACGTCCCAAATGAACAGGACAGTAACTTTCATATAAGGGGGAAAAAAAGAGAGAGAAAATCTTGTCATGAGCCCCAGCTGGGGCTCGACACCAAGACAGGCAGACTGACTGACCGTCAGTCGCAATATGACTTTGATTTTGACTTGACCAAGGCAGTCCCCCGTGTAGAGGCGGATTCGAATACCTCCACCGTGACCTTGCTAGTCGTAGGAGGCGACGAAAAGGGAAGTCTCAAATCTGAGAAAGTAAAACATGGTCGTGAGTAGCAAGGGACTCGGACCCGAGAAAGACTGCGCTGGCAAGGACCAGCAGCCTATACAAAATACAGACCCTTCCTCTCGTCAGAGAGGGCTCCCCACAAAAACAAGACCGTAACTGTCAAACAGTAAAAAAATATCTGGCCATGAGCCCCAGATAAGGCTCGACACCAAAACTTACTGACCGATAATCAGTCGCAATGTGACTTTAACTTTGACCAAGACATTGTTTGAGTGTGTTTAAGTGTGAGAGAGTTCTCGGCGGAAGATAGCCACGGAAAGTTTTTCGCGTGTGATTAGAAGACTTTAATTATGTGTAATATTTGGAGTGATTTGATGCGCTAGTTGCTGTGCTTTAATTTCATTACCAGCTCTCACATGGTGTAAATACGCCACATTACACTCCATGACGATATTTATTTAGCTTGTCCAAAACTCTGCTAAAGAACAATCTTAGTCCACTGAGCCAAGAAACAACTGTGTACGCAAATTCATGAAAAAAAAGAAACTTCTGATTTCTAATTCAAATGAAACTCCCAAGCACTTTACATCCGTTAGACTACAGAGGGCCCGGTACAGCTGCAAAAGTCTTTGCCAGCACAAGAACTTGGGCAGTCGCCGGCCGCCTATTTCGCCTATCCTCTTTGTATTTAGTTTTGTAGCCCTGTAAAGGATATTGGTTACTGTGTGTGCTACCCGGTGCTGCCTGTTTTACCACTCAAAACTCTGCATTCTTCCTATAGAATGTGTATGTGTTTTTCCTATTGTCATAATACAAACCGATTTATTCCTCCATCAGCTCTTTGGCCGATTGTTCTTGGTGTTGGAGAAGCAATATTTTCCACGCAACAGGGTATGAATTCATAACTATTTCGTTGCTACATTCGGTTAAGTTATATTAGGTTAAGTTGAGTTGGGTCAAGTTAGATTAGGCTAATTTGGTAAAGTAGGCAAAGTAAAGCTATCCCTGTAACAGGTCATGGAGGCCTATAGGGTTGTGAGATGTTGAGGTTCCCACATTTTCTAGACAATCGGCTCATAGATGGCGGCAAGGTTGTCAGGCTTCCGCGCCGGCCGCGCTTTACCCCCAAGAATATTCCTGGTACTCATTTATGTTAGAGACTGAGTCGAACCCAGGGTCATAGTGCGCCTGGAAGGTTTAGGTAAATTGAAAATATCCATCTCATCGGGATTCGATCCCGCGACCTTCCAGCTTATAGCACAGTGTCTCAACCAACCACGCTACCGTGTTCTCCCAGGTTAATTAGGTACGTTACAAACGTGAATGTAGGAGTACATGCTTTGATAATTCGGTATTCTTACTATCGAAAACAAATTCAGCATGGAAATGGTTAAATATTATATATATGAATTTCAATAGAATTGATTTTTTTCCGGAAGAGAGGTTTTGCAAAAAAAAAAAAATATATATATTGCGATGGCATGTGCACAGGAAAGAGAACAAAGGATTCATAAGACATCAGCTGGCTCTGGGGTTTATCACCCCTGAAAATGATCGATAGAACCGAGCCTGCGCCAGCAGGTTCTGATGCTGTGTCACACATCGATTCTGGAGCAGTGGACGCTGGTCAGTCGCCATCTTGACAAGCATGGAGGACCGATTCAGAGGGCCCTGAACAAAGGTTTCCGTCACGAACAGGTTTCTATTTCAGACTGCCTGATCTTTATCTGTTTGTTGCACGCGTTTCTTATTTTTATCACTACTTATGGCACACAAGCATTAACAGAAGCATGAACATCTGCAAAGAATTGCCCAGTAGGCTAGTATTCAACTGATATGCACTTATTAATATTTTATTTCTGGTACAGTTGCTAAATAAGCATTCACGAATGTGTGATAATCACAAATATATTTTCCAGGTATAATAAACTGTTGATAAATTTTAATTCAAATCATTATTTCAACTTTTGTTTTACTTTCTAAATTTCATCAACATTTATCATTTCACTAGGAAGTGTCTTTCACGATAGCTGTTGAATTTCACATGGGAGCATTCTGTAGATGGTAGCATTGTATTAGTAAGCGTTCTACCAGCTTTTAAACAGGGTACAGTTTGAAGAAAGCAGTCTTCTGGGCTGTGGCACCGTGTAGATGTGGTGTTAACCGACGTTTCGGAGGAACGTATCGACTCCATCTTCAGGGTAGAAGGAAAAATAAGAAAATTCACAATCTGATCCACTGATTTCTCCTGTAGATTTGCACCTCCTTCCTTCGCTGCTCTCACATAGCTGGGTTTATTTCCAACACCAGTCTGCTTGTACCGGTTCTCACGGTCTCTTTGCTTGCTGATTTTCTTATTGTTCCTTCTACCCTGAAGATGGAGGCGATACGTTCCTCCGAAACGTAGGTTAACACCACATCTACACGGTGCCACATCCCAGAAGACTGCTTTCTTCATAGTCACCGCCGTGAAAACCTCAAATTTTACAGTGTACAGTTTATTCGTATATTTTAAAGATGTGAACTTCATAACGAGAGCGGTAAAAGTGACGTCGTGCAAAATATAAATATCACGACGGCATGCGTCCATGACTGCTTTTAAGGCAATTGTTCCAGCCGGTGTGTTTCAAAATAAAGGAACTGAAACCTTAGTTCTAATACTAAAATTTTTACAATTGTAATTTTTTCATAAAAACATTTGTTCTCCGTGATTTTGAAATATCAAACTATAAGTTAGAATTCCAGCTGATATCGATAAAAATATATGATTTAATGCTATTGAAACACACAATGCCTATCGATATGGATTTTTTGTATAGATATGTCGCTTAATTAGTATATCATTTAATATATAGTGATATATTGAAAACCGAAATTAACGGCCATGTAGATCCGTTGCGCTGACCATGTGATACCCTCTATCCGCAAATGTTGGCACTAACTTCGGCGACAAGCGGCGGTTGCTCGGTCGGTATAGTTCGCTTACGGACTACAGGCCACAGGGTTTGTTTTTTTGTTATTTATTAAATGATATACTAATTAAGCGATATTTATAATTCTTTATTCGAAGAAATGCAAGTCAGTCCACCGCAGACAATATGACAGATGATGGAATAGGGTAATAAATGGAACAATAAAATATATCCCTTTTTTGCATATTAAATGTCTTAATGAAGAAATATATAACGGTTCAGTCTGAACAGCCACTCGCCAAGAATATTCTGGGCCGAAGGTTTCTTAGGTCTAAACAAAACAGCAGACCAGTTGGTGCTGGAATGTATTCGACCTCGGGTAGCTTTTGTTCAGGATGAACCATAATTTCCCTTCCGAACCTAGCTTTTTCTGCAACTATTTATTAGTAACATATTTTCTGATGGAGTTCTATGTTTCCTCCATTATAGGGTAAAGAAACGTCCATCCATTCAATGCTTCCCCTTTAAGACCATGGTTTTCTGGAATATAACGCCGTGTAGTCTGGGGAATAGGTACAGGACATATATCTGCACTCGACTTCTGGGTTTCACGTGAGAAGAATTGACATAAATAAGGGACAGTGGTTGTATTTGCGTTGTGGGAGGGAGGGTGACGCACTGTAAGGCTCTGTACACCCAACAATCCTTATCTCAGTGGATTCAGTCCTGTTTCTGTGCATTAGCCGACACCGGCATGTTCATATATCAATTCAAACCGGAGAATGTTATTAAAATGGATCTTAAATAAATGCGATGCAAAGGAACGAACTTCACCAGTCTGCTTCAGGTTAGGGTCCAGTGGTGGGCTCCTGTGAACCAGCATAAAGTAGGAGCTGAGCGACTATAAGCTTGTGACAGATTCTGCTATTGACAAATATGCAAATTTGTCAGGATATTTGTGTAAGAAAATTAATTTCGATGGGGCGACAACACGAAATAATTATCTGAATATGTTACAGTTTAATGTGTAGTGTTTCATGGCGACTGACCATTAATGTTCTCATAGGTGTTGCCAGTAAATGGTCGAATTACTAGACATTGAACAAGATGGCTCAAGCGGAATCGCTTCTGATTTATATTCAGGAGGTTACTGGTTCGCATCTTTTCCGGGACATCGACTACTATGGCTGAAATTTTTCGTGGGCTTCCTCTGTCCTTCCAGGCAAATTCCCGGATATTACCTCAAAATAGGCCACGACCGCTTTCTTCCACATCCTTTGAAATGTATTCAGTTCTATACTGTCTGAAATACTGAGAGCATTAATAAATTAATGGCAAATATAGCGAATTACTGTTACTTAATATCATGGAGCAGAGAAGCTGATAATTGCTCACCGTTTCAGAAAATCCGCCCTTTTAATTGGCTGAATACAGACGCTCATTAGGATGTTGACAAGAGCCACTGGCTTATATCACGATGAATCCAACCCACATTCACCTAACCTTACTGCTTTTAAGACTGATTTTAATATTCTCGTCCGATCTATGTTTTGTGTCTCCCGCGTGCATCTGAGTTTTGCGAACAAAATTTTGTAAGCATTTCTTATTCTTTTCATGCCTGTCACTGCCAATCTCATCATTATTAACCATAAAATATTGGGTGACAATTATTTAGTTCCTTATTACAGAATTTTCTTTATCGTTTTGTGAAATTCCCGGTTATAGGTCAAATATTCTCTACAACACATCTCTCTCAAATAGCCCCTGATCTAGGCTGTCGTCCCTTGGGTTGGAAGATACGAGTTTCATACCACTACAAAACAGCGGGTAACGTCTGTGTATTTACACAGGATATGGCAGCAATCATTTCTCCGGTTTAATTTTTACGTAATGCATCTATGAATGCAATAATGATTTGTTACTATTGTTTCCAAATATTTTAACTACCCCACGTTATGGAAGGACATATTAAATATCTAATTAAGTCGGTCACGGTAGCCGAGCGGTCTAAGGCATACACTGTGTTCGCTCGCTTGAAAACCGGGATCGTGGGTTCGAATCCCGCTCAAGGCATGGATGTGTAGTTTGTGTGTGTGTTTTTCTGTGTTTGTGTACAAGTAGAGGCCTTGCGACGAGCTGATCAACCGCCCAAGGAGTCCTACCGAATGTGTAAGATCTAGAAAAACCGAAGTGAACGAAGAAGTTCATGGAGGTAGGTCTAGGCCCACTGTGGCTGTAATGCCAAGAAAAAAAAATTCGAAAAACCGTTGTAAATTTAGTAAGTAATCAAGAAATTTCTAACGTATTTTAGTGTACACTTTTTAAACAGTTAGCTGATTTTTGGACTGATTTTTTGTTTCTGCGCTGTTTAGTTTAGCGTTCACTTTTAGACCAGTCTCCTTATTAACTTCTAATAATGTAGCTTCTGTGCTTTCCTTTGTGGTATTTATATTTTCGTCCAATAAATTAGCATCATCAGTACGGAGAGTCATTAAGCTTCAATCTCTCATCACTTTCTTGGGCCTCCTCAACGGCACATTCAAAAGCATCTCCTTGTCTCAGAACATACCAGACAAGAATTACTGACTAGTAATAAACCCCGTGGCTTGTAGTCCGCAAGAGAACTATACCGACCGAGCTACTGCCGCTTGTCGACGAAGTTAGTGCCAACTTCTGCGAATAGAGGATGTCACGTGGTCAGCGCAACGGTTCCCCACGGCCATTAATCTCGGTTTTCTAGACCGAAGCCGCCATTTGCTTGAAATAGCTTCTCAATTTTCTGAGTGGACCCCGTTCCACACACACATTACTTATCAGAAAATCTGGTAGCGCCGGAAATAAAACCCAGGACCTCTAGATCTGGTGCCAGGAACTCTGACCATTAGACCACAGAGGCGACCACTGTCTACTGATATTATAATTATATAAGATTTGAATCGGAGAAGTGCATGGAGGTAGGCCTAGGCCAACTGGGGCTGTAGTGCCAAGGGGAAAAAACAAAATTTGAATCTTCCATGGGTAGTAATATGCTAACGTTTTTTCGGGCGATAAGCCGTGTTAATGCTGGACTAAAACCAACGATTCAGAGATCTCCCCTGTCTCCACATTATAACAGTTGATGCCAACATTAACACGGATGATCGGCCGAGAAGATTTCAGCAAACTGCTACCATTTATGACAATAAATATTACACTGACATTTATCATGTAGTCGGTATAATATTAGTATAATCAAACTACGCAATTTGGATGTTTTAAAGACACGTTAAATAAAAATGTTTACTATTATTTTTTTTATTGCTAGTGGGGTGGGACTAAGTCCCTTGTACTGCGGCCACTTCTGGACTATTGTACCAGCCCCAGATGATAGGTGAGGGTGATTGTGGGGCAATTGGTGGAATGAAGATTGGCAGGGGAAACCGAAGTACTCGGAGAAAACCTACCCAAGCGCCACTTTGTCCACCACAAATCCCAGTTGGCCAGACCCGGGATTGAACACTGGCCGCCGCGGTGGGAAGCCATCGACTAATCGCTTGAGCTATGGCGCGGCCCAAGATGTTTACTAAGAACATTTCTGATAACATGACGCGTTTCTGAAAGTAGATTGTACAGAGGCTGGTGTTTGTCGTGCTGCGGTATACAAATATGGTTCTGTCAAATGCCTCACTGAAATATTTCAGTTTAAGTTCATTTGTTCACTGAACCACCAGAGCAACTGTTACTCCCTGCAGCTCACACGCGCTCCTTCTTCCCGATAATTGGTCTGTATATTTCCTGACATTTTGGTATCATTTTAGTTACGATTTTATCCAAAAATACGTTGGCACCCATATTTTTACTCATATGTATTCCATTTTGAGCCATGATAGCTCAGTCGGTACAACGACGGGCTACGGGCTGGATGACCAGGTTTCGAATCCCGCCAGGGGCAAAATTTTTCTCTTTTCCACAACGTCCAGATAGGCTCTGGGGCCCACCCAGCCTCTCATCCAATGGGCATTGCGGAGTGTTTCCCGTTGATAAAGCGATAAGCGGTGTGAAGCTGATCATTAACCTACATGTAGTGCAGAGGTCACCTCCCCCCCATAAGTCTTTACTTTTTGTCTGCTTCCTTTATAATAAAGAATTTATATGCTTTAGTAGTGGTAGTAATAACAGTAGAAGGGACGTCAGTGATATTAAAATAAAAAAGTAAAGCTATCCCTGTAACAGGCCGTGAAGACCCATAGGGTTGTGAGATATCGAGGTTCCCACATTTTCTAGACAATCAGCTCACAGGTGGTGATGAGGTTGTGAGCCTTACTCGCCGGCTGTCCTTTACCCCTAGGAAGGCTCTTAGTACTCATTTCTCTCAGAGGGTGAGTCAACCCCAGGATCATAACGCGGCTGGTGGAATTATATCTATTTATAAATCCAATGACCTCATCGGGAATGGAACCTGCGACCTTCCGGCTTGTAGCATAGTACCTAAACTAACTAGGGGAAGGGGGGGCATTAGAATATGAAAGTTTTTTTGTTCTTCAGAACCGTAAATTTCACAATATAAACAAGTTCTTTAATATTTATCATCTCCGACATTCTAATATCACACGGGGACTTGTCTATGTGGCCACATCGATTAATATACTTGTTGCTTTACGTCACAATCAGAAAGTCTGTGGTTTATTTTTCAATTTTATTAGTACTGAGACTGGATTGAGACCGAGATTTGATCTGTTCATATTTTCTTATATATATACAGGATGTAAATAAATATGTTACAGTGTTCTACCACAGACATTCGGAAATAAATATCAAACAAACTAAATTCGAAGAGCAGAAGTTTTCTTTTCTCCCTTTTTATACTTACTTACTCCTTGAGCTGAGCCCTTCNATGCACTACCCACCTCATCCTCCTTGACTTTATCATTCTAATTATACCTGGAGAAGAGTACAAGTTATGAAGCGCCTCATTATGCAGTTTTCTCCGACCTCCTGTCACTTTTTATACGCAGCACGAAAATTACAAGCTACCTGAAGCTTCTCGTGTTTATGTTCTTCAGTGTATTGAAAGCACAAACCAAGTCCAGTTAAAGGCAGTGTATGTTAATATCAAACATCATTCAGTGATGTAAAATAAGACACGATTAAAATTCTTCGAAATAGTCAGTTCTTAAAATACTAAAATAGAAATATTTATCAGAATGATTAGATTTGTTATCCCAAAATAAAAATGACGAGTTCACGTAAAGATAAAACTCTATTTACATAAAAGGTACAGTAATATATATTTGTCCTTATGCTCAACTAATTAAGCATTACGACATGAAGGCTTATGGGGAACGGATGTGTAGATCTACACGATCTTCATCTTAGCACTATTTGGAGGTGAGTGATCAGCTTCACGCCCCGTCCGCTTTACCAAAGTATCCATTTAATAGAACGCTGGGTTGGCCCTAGGACCGGTGTGAACGACGTGGAAAGAAGGAAAACTCTTGGGACTCGAAAGCCGACACCTCGGCTGTCCAGCCAATAGCCAGAAGCTATACCGACTACACTATCCCGGCTCATATATGGCATTTATATAGTGGGCAAAGGTGGCTAGAGAAGAGTCACGAAGATTTCAGTTCAATTCCTCTCGCTTCATGAAATACAAATCGCATCTCAGAATATGTTTACGTGCATTATTTATATCTGATATCTCCAATATGGTGTATCATAATATGCCTTTTGATATATTTTTATTGTGAACTGACTATAAATCTTTTTACCTTATGTTGTATCTTCTATTTNAAATATGTTTACGTGCATTTTTTATATCTGATATCTCCAATATGGTCTATCATAATATGCCTTTTGATATACTTTTATTGTGAACTGACTATAAATCTTTTACCTTTTGTTGTATCTTCTATTTTAATTGTAATACTTACGAACTTGAGGCAAAATTTTTACCTGCTATTACATAATACGACGCGTTGCACTTGTATGGATCCATATCGGTAGTTCAATAACTAGAAGTATTCCTATATNGAATATGTTTACGTGCATTATTTATATCTGATATCTCCAATATGGTGTATCATAATATGCCTTTTGATATATTTTTATTGTGAACTGACTATAAATCTTTTTACCTTATGTTGTATCTTCTATTTTAATTATAATACTTACGAAATTGAGACAAAATTTTTACCTGCTATTACATAATACGACGCGTTGCACTTGTATGGATCCATATCGGTAGTTCAATAACTAGAAGTATTCCTATATATAACTGCCTGATGATGGTCTTATACGACCGAAACATGAAGAAGGAATAAAAGTCAAATTGTAAAACATTAAAAGCGAGTAAATTTGTCGTGTTGACGGTTAACCTAATTCATATATATTTCTATTAAGATATTGTATACTTCCTCCTCTGTTGAACTCTTAATTTAGAGGTTTAGCTTTCTCTTACCTTTAGTAGGAAACCATTTTTCTTGCCTCCACCTGGAACCAGCTTAATCCCCCTTATTATGGTATTAATTCACGTTATTCACAAAATGGCGCCGTCTTATATGCTTTATTCTTAATTATTACTGAAAACACAACGAATTAATCCACTTCTCGAACAGAAAACTGCGTTTTATTCATTTTGCAGAGAATGACACAGACATGAAAACACTTCACTCCCGTTACACTGCATATGAACACAGTCGGTAGCAAAACTGTAGAAGACACCGGCTCCCAGACAACTGAATGAACTAACAAACTGACGACATAGTTACACTGGGGAATGGAGACATTGGCAATCTCGTCAAATCTATCCGTCCACCTATAAATTCGTAAGAGAGTTCTGTTCGTACGTAGTACAGGTTTCGGCAACGACAACTTTTACCGTAACTAGAAACATTAATTTAGAGAACGTTTATTATGTAGAGTTTGTTCAAATCGCTTTCGTTTCACTTAGTACGTCTAATTTCTTTTAATTAAAATTTTCGAAAATATTAACTAGAAGTAATGAAACATTATTATTATTATTATTTTTCTTCTAAACTGTGTATGTTTTTACGTGCAGTAATAACTACAAAATTCAACCCTCAGAAGCAAAAGGAAGAGTTGGGTATGAGACTTAAAGTTCTTACGGCGGTAAATATGAAGATTACTGTCATCTGGAATGTGACATCGTGCAGTTTGGTTAAAATTGTAATGTTACAGATTATTATCATCATTATTATTGTTATTATTAAGGTGATATTTAAATTATCTTATGTTTGTACATTTTTTGTGAGTGTTTTATTTCCTTTCTTTGCTTGTATTTGCTTTTAAATTGGCCTTTTGGATGCTAACTTAACACGTAAATATGAATCCAAATGAGTTAGTCCTTTTTTGGCTAAACTTATTACTTACTACGGGTTCTGCTTACGTAAAATTTATCGGACATAACCTTAAAGTTTTGCACCGCCGCAACCGTTAAAGTATCAATAATATTGCGTATATCTGTATAATGTGTATGTCAAGACTCTGCGTCCGTACCATAATTCACATGCGTACCTCCAGTGGTTTATTAGTTATTGATATTTGGTTACTTAATTATTTACAAAAAAGAAATAAGATGGGTTATCGCCGGTTTACATAAGTTAGTACCACATAGTTTTGAAGTCAAGAATGCTGGAGCTGTAACTCCACTCTCCATACGTCTTCTTGACGTTGTGCTTCATTATTAAGCGCAGCGACAACATTATTCTTCGCACTAGATCAAATGTTGCTAGCGTTGCTTCTGCCCACAAGATCGCGCGCCCGTCGTGTTATTGCCGATTATAAAAAATTAAAACCTACGACATTTGGGTGACCGCCTCTGTGGTCTAGTGGTCAGAGTTCCTGGCTACAGATCCAGACGTCCCGGGTTCGATTCCCGGCGCTATCAAATTTTCTGAAAAGTTGTTGGTCTGGAATGGGGTCCACTCAGCCTCGTGACAATAATTGAGGAGCTACTTGAATGGAAAAGTAGAGGCTCCGGTCTATAAAACAGAAATTAACGGCCGTGGAGATCCGTTATGCTGACCACGCGACACCCTCTATCTGCAAAAGTTGTACCTGACAAGCGGCTGTCGCTCTCTCGGTCGGTATAGTTCGCTTGCGGACTACAGGCCACGGAGTCAGTTTTGACATTTGGATTGTGTCTGATGGCATAACGTCCACGCCAAATTTCATGAAAACATGTTAAATAATCTACAAGTTGAAATGGAGGACACACATACAGGCAGCATGCTTATATCATAAGCGTAGATTTTTTTGTTCAAGAATAAAATGGGGTAGTTTAGGTCAAAAGTGGTCGCAGTACAAGGGACTAAGTCCCACCCCACTAGCAATTAAAAAACTTACTGCCATCTGTGAGCCGATTGCCTACAAGAAATGTGGGAGCCTCGACATCTTGCAACCCTGTGGACCTTTACGACCTGTTACAGGGATTGTTTTGCCTTTTAACCTTTTACCTTATTCATATACCATGAAGTTGGAGGCGACATTATCCTCCGAAGCACCTGCTGACTTTCAACGGACTACACGGTGTTACGTCCTAGAAGACAGAGGAACTCTTCAGAAACCATGGTGTTGACACAGCTTTTAATTAATATCGGCTAATAATGTCAAACATACTGATTTCCATGTTTCAGTCAGCGGAAGGGGGAAGGGGGACATATACAGGTCTTCTAATGCCGGATTTATTATCGACTCAGCCCAGCAAGCTTGCTCAAGGTAACCGATACCGACTTTCTCACTTTGAATTTCTGCCAGGACATAGATTATCCTAAGGATTTTCCTGGGTCATCCCAATACCTCCAGGCAAATACAAGGATAGTACTTCAGGTGAGGACACGGGTGTTCCCTTCCGCCTCCTTTTCAATTCATTCTTCATTAATCATCCTTCCATTCCATACTATAGTACAGTCTGAGTGACAAACAGCGTCGATACACATTACAAAACAAGCTCCTTGGTTTTAGTCCGCAAGCGAACTATACCGACCGAGCGGCCGCCGCTCGTCGGCGAAGTTACTGCCAACTTTAGCGGATAGAGGGTGTCGCGTGGTCATCGCAACGGTTCCCCACGGCCGTTAATTTCGGTTTTCTAGACCGGAGCTGGTATTTCCTTGAAATAGCTCCTCAATTATTCTCATGAGGTTGAGTGGACCTCGTTCCAGACCCACTACTTCTCAGAAAATCTGGTAGCGCCGGGAATCGAATCAGGATCTCTGGATTTGTAGCCAGCAAACTGTGACCACTAGACCACAGAGGCGGTCAGCGCCGTGGCACATACCATAAATAAATAAACAGGCTAAGTGAAACATACTATCGACTCAGCTGTGTTGATTATTCGCAGCTGCTAGAGCATGAAATAATTTAAATGGCTTGAAACTAAACTAAAATTGACTTAACCTACTTCTTCATAGGGGCATTTCTATATTATGCATTGCACGACCGTGACAAAGGCGTAAAAAGTTTAGGAGCTCTTCTAACGATTTAAAACGCGAAACTTTAAGTATTAAGGGATTTTTGTGAAATAGGACTATTCTCTCTATCATAAACTCCTGGGAACACACATCTAAGCTCCTAACTTTTAATAAAATATTCAATAACCCTTCACGACTAAAGGCTTTTCTTTTGTATGCAGTATTTAGAATTAATTTACAACAGCTGTCTACTCAGTTGGGCCCAATTGAATAGGTACCTGAAGACGGACACAGACTCCAGTCTACGAAACGTTGTGGTTCAAACACTAAACAGGAAGGTGCATTGTACTGAATATAGAACTTTTCCTGTACATTTTTCGGCCACTGCTGACCATCATCAGAAGGCGTATCCAACAACAAAAAAGAAAGAGTGACGATGCCCATTAGTGGTCTGAACATGCAAAACAAAAACAAAAAACAAAATCCGTGGCCTGTAATCCACAAGCGAACTATACCGACCGAGCGACCGCCGCTTGTCGTCGAAGTTAGTGTCAACTTTAGCGGATAGAGGGTGTTGCGTGGTCAGCGCAACGAATCCCCACGGCCATTAATTTCGGTTCTATAGATTGGAGCCTCTATTTGCTTGAAATAGCTCCTCAATTATCCACACGAGGTTAAGTGGACCCCTTTCCAGACCCATTAATTCTCAGAAAATCTGGTAGCCCCGGGAATCGAACCCGGGACATCTGGATCTGTAGCCAGGGACTCTGACCACTAGACCACAGAGGAGGCAAAACAATTTTTTACATTTTCCTATTAAATTTGTTACACTTAATAGATCTTTCTGCTTATTCAGGTACATTTATTATTAACGATGTTTACGGTTTATCACGGCGGTACTTATGAAGACCTGAGGCTGTGATCCCATAAGACAGTAATGTTCAATAGCTATTTAGTATAAGAATCGAACTAAACACAATTTCTTAAAAGTATCAAAAGACTGAGGAATCCAATGGAAATAATCTATCGGATTTGGGGGGCTGGGGACGGCATGTGTATCGTAAGACTCGAACCCGGTAACGCCTCTGCATTATGAGTAATAGCTGTCGGCCACTCAGCTGGCTGGCGCCCAGAAGATGCTCCATCGATTTCCTATAGCGCGAGGTGCATATTCATTAACAATTACAGCAGGAAGGAAGGCAAGCAGGCAGACTGGCGGAGCATCCAGGCTGCTCCACTGTCATGTAGGGCATTAATGAAGACAGATGACTCGCGTGTTCTTAATACATTCGAAGTTCACTAATAAATTACTGTTCGCCAAGGAAGCACATATCATGTATCAGTACTCACACATGTGTAAAAACTAAACACTGTTAGTGTGCTTTCCCTTCCTCAAACAAATGAGGATATCTCCGGCTCGACATCATGCTGTGTGTTTCTCTCAACTTTTGAATCAACTGAACATTTTTCAAGATATTTAATACAATATTATGCCTTCTAGTCCGGTCTAGAAAACCGAGATTAACGACCGTGGGGATTCGTTGCGCTGACCACGCGACACCCTCTATCAGCTAAAGTTGGCACTAACTTCGCTGACAAGCGGCGGTCGCTCGGTCGGTATAGTTCACTTGTGGACTAAAGCCACGGAGTTAGTTTTTATTTGTATTATGCCATTTGAGACCATACCAACTTCGTACTTCATTTGCCTACAATCGGTAACATAAACATGGCGGACGCAACACTAACGCCACTTAACTAAGGCTCTGAAGTGATGTAAGGGAATAGGTTAGATTTAATTCAATAACAAGAAGTTCTGGGAACAACTAATCGCATACTTTCCTTGATACGATACGAACCGCATAGAAAATGACGCGTCCAACAATTCTTCTATTGTTGCATGTGTATTTGTTGCCGTGGTAGCGTTTTTAGTGAGCCGTTGCCTAGCGACGATAGGGGGAAACATATGTAGACACACAGACAGACGGGAGGGATTTATTAAGTATGCTGTTCGAATTCCGATGAGGTGGATTTTTTTCAATTGACCTAATCCTTCCAGCCGCACTATGGCCCTGGGGTCGACTCAGCCTCTAACAGAAATGAGTACCAGGAATATTCCTGGGAGTAAAGGACAGCCGGCGCGTAAGGCTGACCTCACCGTCATCTGTGAGCCGATTATCTAGAAAATGTAGGAGCCTCGACGTCTCACTCCCCTACGGGCCTCCACGGCCTGTTATAGGGATAAATGTTGTTAGGATCTGAGACAGTAAAATGTGTTCATGAGTTCCGCGGGACTCGGACCTGAGAATGACTGCGCTGGCGATGACCAGCAGCAATTGTAAACGACAGACCCATCCTCTCGTCAGAGAGGATGTTACATAAGGATTACGACAGAAAGTGTTAAAAAAATACTGGTCGTGAGTCTCAAGGAACTTGGCACTAAGATGAACTGATTAGCAGTAAACCGAGAGTCGAAAAGTATCTCCGACTTTGACTTTGATTAGCCGTTGAGCCCGGAAGCAGCAAAAATAATCTTCATTGGTAGAAGCCGCTACCAAAGAACGAGTAAGCGAAGGCACAGCGACTGGGAAAACTTGTAGTGTGATGCAGTCGTTTGTAGAGTATCAAGAAGAGCAAAGTAAGGTGAGGTGAGGTCCCTGTGCTTAATTAATGAAGCACCTCGCCAAGAAGACGTATGGGGTAGTGGGCGTATAGCTCCAGAATTCGGCTGTAGAGTGTGAAGTACCTGTAACTGTAATCACGAGTAATAAGCATCCAATAAATTCAATATTGAATCAAACTCCTGTGTCTAGTCAGTAACACGTGACATTATGTTGAAACGTACTTCTATGCGACATCGTTTTATATAAAATGAAAAAAAAAAATTGACACTGTTCTTCTGTCCACATTTTTCGCGTTAAAATTACTGAAGATTTTCCGATTCAATTTGGTACTGAGGGGTCAATGCAGACGTCAGAATAATACGTATAATTTTAAGCTTTACTATTAAGGCGCGTCCACATTACTCGTGCTGGTGCTCGTGTGACTCGCTATGCTCGCGAGTAATGTGGACGATATGACAAGTCACGAGACAAGCAAATTTTAAATTTTTAATTTAAAAACTATAGCCAATAAATTAAAATACGACTACAGCCTATACACACTACGAGTAAATATACGGATCCTCACGCGCCGAAGCCTGGCGAGCAACTGAAGTAGTGTGGACGAAGATTTACGAGCACAAGTAAAAGCCAGACGAGTCTCCCGACGAGCACAAGCCTGGCGAGCACGAGCACGAGTAATGTGTACGCGCCTTTAGAGTAAAACTTCTTCGATCCACACTGCTTTATATCTCAGAACACCGAATTCTTAATGTAACTCCTACTTTACATGGATCTGAAATCGGACTTTACCTTTCTTATAACCCCACAAACACACACGCAATAATTGTTCACAATGTAGACTGAAGATCTTCAACTTTCATTTGAGATATTTTTTTACAAGGATATGATAATGTGATGCCTTATCATAGCTATCGCACACCTCACAAGGGCGGTAATACAGTAGTTGAGTATGGAACAATGGTGGAATGATGATTGAAAGGGGAAAATCGAAGGAACTCATAGAAGATCCTGCTCACATGTGATTTAGTCCACCACGAGTCTCACATGAAGTCACCCATGTTAGAGGTAGTAATTTAATGTCTACTGTATGGAGTATATTTATATTCTGATTGTAATAACACAGTTAAGATTTATTTATATGTCTTCAGTTACAACATAAATTTTCCTTTTGGTTTGACTACACATTTGATTAATTCAACTGTTTCCTCCTAATTGGTGGGGAAGGCTTAGGTCTGCCGAAAAATATGTTATTTATAACCAGACTGTATAAAATTACGAGGAGAAATAAGAGAAATCCGAAATAAACTGTTTTAATTGCAGAGTACACTAATACTATTTTTTTTCCTTGGCACTACAGCCCCAGTGGGCCTAGGCCTACCTCCATGAACTTCTCCGTTCACTTCGGTTTTTCCTGATCTTACACATTCGGTAGGACTCCTTGGGCGGGTGATCAGCTCGTCGCAAGGCCTCTACCTGTACATAAACACAGAAAAACGCACACACACAAACTAAACATCCATGCCCTGAGTGGGATTCGAACCCACGATCCCTGTTTCCAAGCGAGCGAAGACAGTATGTGCCACATTAATTCTATTAGTTAAATATTAGAAAAACCAGACGAGAATATATTGAGGAATATGAATTGGGTTCAACCGGCCTGCTGTGGCGATCCGAACTAGTGTAATTTACGTAAGCAAACTTGTACATTCATATCATTAACTAAAGACGAGTTATAGAACAGATCAAGACAAGTTATATAGGCCACTATGTCCTGAGGCATTTGTTCAGATTGTGGTCTTCTGGGTTGTGACACCGTGTAGTCTTGCGGGTGGATATTAATATTTCGGAAAATTATGCTACTTCAATTTTCAGGATCCTGCCTATATAATGCAACCGAGTCATCAACCTACACACTTCGACCCTGGTTATGAATGCAACATGTTCCTGAGGAAACTTGATAATCACCAGCAAGACTGTACGGTGTCATAAGCCAGAAGACCACTCAATCTGAAGAGTTAAAGAGTTATAACTCGTCGCCATATACGTACTTATTTCTGTGAGAACTAGTGAATATTTTATAAAATTCATAAAATGATTTCAGTGCACCTTTGGTTGGTACAAGAGTTTATTACGGCAAATCCAATTGGCCGAAATGCAAATACCGCGCGTAATAAGCATGCAGCTAGAAGGTACACATCTGGCTCCCAGACAGGACAATTAACGGCAACAGAATTATGATACGCCGTTACAGAGATGGCCCCGGAATTTAAAATGAGACCTGTTCGATACCACAGGTCACTTCTTTGTCCTGTCACTGTGTGACGTCACGGCGCTCAATCGACCGCTGGCTAGTGGCTAGTATCCATGCGAATCAGTCCTCCACGCCCGTCTGTCTCACACCCTGCAAACTAAACCCTGTAACCCAGTCTATATGAGGGCAACTGATTCAGGAAAGTCAGTGCAGAAAATTCGTCACTAGGCCCATAGTACCGCTATATCGTGAGGATCATAGGTCATATTCACATGTGACGACTATGTTCAGTTCAGGATCGTAGTCATGGTTCTAGCAATCGTAAGTCAGATCCGTTTCGTATTTCCACGAGCCCTTTGTTTAAAGCGATTAAAACTAATGCATAATGGGGAATAAGTGTCTGCTTATGATTGGGCTGTGATTATAATCAAAGAATATCGAAATCAGTGGGTGGCAGTTTCAAACTCGGCCAGGAGAACACCTTCCATGACTGACGGTTTTCGTGGTTTTGAGCAATCACTCATGTTAAATGCCAGGATATTACCTAAAATTAGGCCACGACCACTTGTACTCTTCGCCAAGTATAATTAGAATGATCAAGTCTAGGAGGATGAGATGGGTAGGGTATGTAGCACGAATGGGGAGAAATGGAATACATATAGGATACTAGGTTGGAAAGCCAGGTGGAAAAAGACCACTAGGAGGACCAAGACGTAGGTGGGTGTACCAGTATTAAAATGGATAGGATGGTATGGACTCGATCGATCTGGCTCAGGATAGGGACCGGTGGAGGGCTCTTGTGAACACGGTAATGAACTTTCGGCTTCCATAAAACGCTGGGAAGTTCTTGAGTACCTGCACAATTGGCGGCTCCTCAAGAAGGGCTCAGCTCCATGAGTGAGTATGAGCCAGGATAGCTCAGTAGCTATAGAGATGGACTGGATGGTCTGGGGTTCGATTCCCGGCAGGGTAAGAGTTTTTCCTGCTCTCCACAGCTTCCAGACCGGTTCTGGGATCTATCCAGTCTCCTACCCAATGGACATTGGAGGCCCCAGAAGGTAAAGTGGGCGGGACATGAAACTGGTCATTCACAGTGCCAAGGTCAAGAATGGTGGAGCTATACATCCACTCCCCAGTATGTCTTCATGGCATGGTGCTTAATTAATTAAGCGAAGCAACAACATTACCCATCATCCCTCGGGTTCACCATCGTCACAAAAGTACCAGCCCAGATTACTTCAATCTAATCTCACCATCACAACCTCATTCAGAATCTCAATGGACCAAGTGTTCATCTGAAGAGACCCTGCCAGTTTCAATCCTCCGGTCTTCTTCGCTTTGTGTGTCATCACTGAAACTAACCTGTAACTATGAAAATGGGATCAAATTAATGTGCTCGATTTGTGTTTCTGAGACATCTGGATAAAATCCTTCTTGTTTCCCCACCAATTTTCTACATGCATTCTTCTTCTCCCCTATTCAAGCTACATGCCCTGCCCATCTCATCCTCCTTGAGTACAAGTTATGAAGTTCCCTTTCCCATTCACCATATAATAATTATCCTTACATTCCATTCAACACTAAATAACCATGCAGTTGAAATAGGATCTTGAAATACTTGAGGATAAATATAACTTATGTTTCTGTCACAGGCTAAACATGTTAGTCACAATGATGTCGCCAGTGAACTGTGGGCAGCCACCACTAGAGTGCAGCAGTAATGAGGACAGCAGCAGGAGCAGTGTAGATGAAACAAACAACAATGGTGGTGATGTGGAGTTGACAAGTCTCAACTGGCTTCAAAGTCTTAATATAATTCCTTCCCTTTTGCCCACACCACCTTCATCACCTACACCATCTCAAACTGTGAAGCCAGCTTCGCCACAAGCATCAGTCCGGGTCAGACACAGTAAGTACAAAACAGCCAATTTAACACCTGAACAGCTGTAGCATTATTCTCCCTGATCCATAATTGCAGGTCAGTCTAGAGACCACCTTCAGAGCTGTTCTACAAACTAGAAAGAAGATTATCACTGATCCTTAAGAACTTTATTTTCTATATTGTAACAATTATCGATATTTGGAACACTTACTAATTGCCCATAGTCACTTATGTTCTTCAGATTAGTTCTTTGTTTAATTATTACTTCACAGCAACATCACTGGTCACTATGCTGTACTCATTCAGATCTGTTCCACCAAACTGCTCTGAACTCAGGACTGTAAACCTTGACAAATGACAACTAACTCACTAGGTCACTGCCAACTCCTTTTATAGTGATGCCATCTGCAGTGAAGTACTAGAATATTTGCACATGATCTGTCTTCCTTGTCAATCAGTTTCATGAACATTCCGGATGGTATGAGAGGTATTGTATTGTATTGCATTTTATTTCATCCATTTTGCTACATAGTACCCACTTGGACATGTCATTCAGTAACAAAAGTTAACAAAATAAATCTACAAAGTTATAAGCATACTACCAACATTTGTTACAATCATAAGCAACATATAAATACAACATTCCAAAAAATATAAAAACTACTATATACAGCTCATGAACGGCTATGACATCCAGACATGAGTACTTGCACCATCCACTTTTTTTTAAAACTAACAAATTCATTTATCGTATAAAAAGAATGTTTAAATAAAAATTATTTTAAGTCTTTTTTAAAAGCTGAAAAACCCACCGAGTTTTTTATTTTGTTTGGAACCTTACTATACAATTCTATCCCCATATTTACCACACTTTTTTTTAAATAATGTAGTTCCGCAGAATTGAACATGAAAATCCTTCTTTATTCTTGTATTATAACTATGAATATTTATATTTTGGATCAAATCTGCTTTGTGCTTTTTTATGTAACATAACACCTCTAAGATACACAAAGATGTGACCATGAGGCTGCCATAATCTTTAAAAATTTGCCTGCATGACTCTTGTTTACCAAGTCCACTAATTATTTGCAACACCCTCTTCTGCATTTTAAATACGTACCTTTACACTATCACCATCCCCCCCAAATATTATTCCATATCTCAATAATGATTGAAACTTTCCAAAATAAATGCTTCTTAACATATTTGGACTCAAAACTCCTCTTAGTGATTTAATTATATAGGATGTTTTTATGTGCCATAAAGGTCAGGTGACAGTATCCCAATGCACTCAGCTCTCACAACAGTATAATGGCTGGCTACAAAGATTTTTTTATCCAAATAATATATATAAAATGTATTAATCTTTACTTCTTTATATGTGCATTCAGATCATGCATAAATACAATTCTCTCTCCAGCGAATCTAATGGGCCACTCATCAGAGTTTATTATGTTGTCACATGTCAGTGACTAGTCACGGGATTCAGATTGATAATTACACTGATTCAACGTCAAAGTCAAAGTTATGTTACGACTGATGGTAAGTCGGCCAATCTATCTTAGTGTCAAGCATCCATCTGGGGCCTAATACCCAATTTTTATTACTGTCAGACAGTTGTGGGTTTCTTGATGTGGGGGCGCCCTCTCTGACGACATGACAGTCAGAGTCAGAGTTACTTTATGACTGGCGGTTTACCGCCAATCAGTCTGACTTGGTGACAAGCTCCTTGAGACCCACGATCAGAATTTTTATTTTCCAACTGAATATTTGCAGTTATAGTCCTTATGAAACATCCTTTCTGATGAAACAGTGGGTCTGTCGTTTACAATTGCTGCTGGTCCTCTCCAGGGCAGTCATTCTTAGGTCCAAGTCCTGGGGGACTCATGACCATATTTTACTGTCTCAGATTTGAGACGCCCCCAACCTGGAGGGTCAGGTCCCCATATTTATATCCCACAGGAACAGGGTGGCCCAATTATACCCCCAGACACTGGGTTGACAAGAGGACGTTAAAGTTATGTTATGACTGATGGTCAGTCGGCCAGTTCGTCTTCACATCAAGCATCCATTTGGTACTTAAGACCAGATTTTTGTTTCTGTCAGACAGTTGTGTTTGTTGATGTGGGGCGCTGACAGGACAAGTCGAGTCAAGTCTTATGTTACAACCGACAGTCAGTCGGCCAGTCTGTCTTGGAATAAAGCACCCATCTGGGGCTTACGACCAGATTTTTATTAGTCAGTCGTTGCGGGTTTGTTGATGTGGGGCGCTTTCTATGATGAGAGGATGGGTCTGTTGTTTACAATTGCTGCTGGTACTTGCCAGTACCAACGTTTCAGGGGAACAGACCTCTTTCATCTCAGCTCTGAGGCTGTATGTTCCTCTGAAATGTTGGTACTCACCTAAGAGAATATAACATGTCATTAACTCAGAAGACTAAAATAAGAATCATCGCCACTGTGGATGGTTCAGATGATAGTTGTGAAAGGAACTGCCATTGAGAATGAAGTAAAACGTAAAGTAAAGCTATCCCTGTACCAGGCCGTGAAGGCCGATAGGGTTGTGAGATATTGAGGGTCCCACATTTTCTAGACAGTTGGCTCAAAGATGGCCGTAAGGTTCTCAGTCTTACGTGCCGGCTGCGCTTTACTCCTCAGGAAAATTATTTCATTAATTCCTGGTACTCATTTCTGTTAGAGGCTAGTAAACCCCAGGACCTAATGCGGCTGGAAGGATTAAGTCAACTAAAGAAAATCCGATGACCTCATCGGGACTTGAACCCCCGACCTTCCGGCTTGTAGTATAGCCCCTGAACCAACTACACTACCGCATGCCCCTACCATTGAGAATGAAACAAGTTGAAACTCTCCTTCCTCCATTGTTAGACACTGTTTTATACAGAAGGCATGAAGAATATTCTGATACACTTGTTATGGTACTCATAATGACACAGTAGCAACTGATGATGTTCATAACACACCCCTTGATGGTAATCTTTCACTCCAAACTGGGGTCATGTTCTGAAAACATTTTCAATGCAGCAGAATTTCCACTTACGAGTATAGCTTAAGACATAATTCTAATTGTCTGGTTTCCTGCAGAAACAACCCGCTGAACAATGTCACTGTGATCTTATTTAGGCTGATGCTCAATCAACTTCTTAGGGTGGTCTACAATCATCTTATGTGGAAAGCTCAAATTATGTGAATGCTATAATTTTATTCTCATTTATATGTTACTGCAGATTCATGAATGTGTTATTCATTTCAGTGCACATGTTTATTACTTTACATTAGTCTTACTTTTGAGTACACAATAGCGCAGTTGGTTGAAGCACTATGCTACAAGCCAGAATGTCGCTGGATCGATTCCTGATGAGGTCATTGAATTTTTTTAATTTATCTAATCCTTCCAGCTGCAATATGGCCCTGATGTCGACTCAGTCTCTAACAGAAATGAGTAACAGGAATCTTCCTGGTGGGTAAAAGGTGGCCAGTGTGTAAGGCTGACAACCTTACAGCCATCTGTGAGCCAATTGTCTAGAAGATGTGGGATACTTGACCTCTCACACCCCTGTGAGCCTTCACAGCCTGTTACTGGGCCAGCTTTACCTTTTTTACCTTAGTTTTCTGTGTGAAACACAAATATAGTAAAAAGAAATGCAAAATTCTGCTGAAAATTTGTTTCTTGAATGTATACACGTGGAGATATCACTGTACTTAATCAAACAGTAGCATTGAATGTGGGAGTTCTGCATTAAAAGAAGTCATTCTAACTCTGTGCAATCACATGCAGCCACCAACATGAATTTCCAAGTATGAAATACCGACAGGTTTAATAGAATGCACAGACAAACTATTCATGCAAATGTATACACATACAGAATATCTCTGTGTAAAAATGAATACCTAGAAGTGATCTTGAATCTCTTTTAAATGCATGTAAGAATATATCAGTAACAAAATAATACATGACATTTGCCATCTTCTGGGATATAGCTCCATGTAGTCCATACGTGAGCCGACATTTTGAAGGAACGCATGATCTCCATCTTCAGGGCCAAAAATCAGCAGAGCAAGAAGCCAGTGAGAGCAGGTGACCATGTCAGCTCATATTCGTACTACACGGTGCTATATCCCAGAAAATGGCAAATTTCATAACTACCACTGTAAGAACCTCAAATCCTACAAAATAATACATGATGGAAAAGCTTTGTTATTAGACACTGTCAAAAATCTGTGTCCCTAATTGACAACAATTTTGTCTTTTCAGTGACCCAGGACTGGACGCAAGGCCGGCCTCTGAAACCAGGACATATCCTAGGTATAAAATAAACCACCATCTCAGTTCTCCTACATATACATATACATGCAATGGTAGACGTATCCTATCCTTGCTGTATTTTTTTTCCTTGGCACTACAGCCCAGATGGGCCTAGGCCTACCTCCATGAACTTCTCCGTTCATTTCGGTTTTTCTAGATCTTACATATTCGGTAGGACTCCTTGGGCGGGTGATCAGCTCATCACAAGGCCTCTACCTGTACACAAACACAGAAAAACATCCATGCCCTGAGTGGGATTCTAACCCACGATCCCGGTTTCCAAGCAAGCGATGACAGTACATGCCTTAGACCGCTCAGCTACCGTGACTGACCATTCTTGTTGTATAGAGGTCCATAATCTATAATAAAAACAGCTCGTCAGCTCCTTTATTCATTATTTCAATTCTGAAATAATTATATATGCCTGGTTCATTTAACTCTATTTCTGCAATACTGAGTTAAGTCAAAGAAGAATCCATTACCATATAGTGTGACATGTGACTTTAGACCACATCTAGAAATAACAATCTCCTTTTAATGCATCACTGAGCTTCATTAAATAGGCTACGACAATGAATTTTTGTTGAGTTCTTCTCATTTTTACCCTAAAATTGAATAATTTTAGAAAAATAGTGGGAAAATAATATGCAGAAAAGAGTAAACAACAATTTAAATTGCTAACATTACATATATGCAATGATAGGATGATAAATAAATAATGAATTTGAGAAGATGTGAAAGGAAGCGATTTAATTTAAGGTGCTACACTAACATTTTCCTGGAGGGGCTGAAGAAAAAAAAAATGCACAGTAGTTGGTCTCTTGGCTGAGTCAGCTCTGAAAAAAACAAATTAACTGTTCATCTAATTATCATACTCAGATATACCTTTGTAATAACTCTTATTTTCCTTCAAAATGTTATCATGGGTGTGTCACTATACACAGGGTTTGGAGTCATAACTGGATTTACTGCACGCTTGTAAGTTGTATGTACAAATAGTCTCACTAATGTACACACACACTACAAATCACTAAAACTATAGCACATATAAAATCTTCTGTTTGTCCACTAGTCGTTGCCAGGTAGTGGCTTCTAAGGGACCATGCAAAAGACATCACCTGCAATGGCTCCTCCACTGTTGCGCATTCATTCATTGTTGTGGACAGGTGTTGCTGTTGCATAGTGATGGCTACATAAAAACACCACGTCCTCTTTTGTTGTGTGTTTTTCGTTGTCATGGACACATATTTATTGCTCCATTGCCTAGCAATGGCCACATCTATTCATTCCACTATTCCAGCTTTCAGCCATCATGTCATAATACATTTCAAAATCGTTCACTTCACATTTCCATAACTTTCTTAATTATTTCACTTTTTATTTCATTCTACAGATGAATACCTTTTGACATGTTCAGTTAGATCAGGTTGACACTTCTTCATAACAAATTAGCAAAAAACTCAGCACAAAAAGGATTAAAGAATCTGTATTAACTACATAGCTTATTTAGTGTCATATAAAATGAGGTGGATGGGGAAGGAAGCAATCATGACCTTCTTCAGGGTAATATCCTGGAAAACATATGTCAGCATTGCTTACATATGTATGTACTATGTGAATGATACATTACATTCTCCTGTGTTTAACCACAATAGCAAAATAAGAGACAAGGAGAAACTATGAAACTTCTTACTATGTAAATTCACCTCTTATTTGATTTCTTTAGATATGTAAACCAAAAAATATATCCCCTGATTACAATCCTTCTGGTAATTTTGCTCAAACAGATGATCCTTGCACCTTCATCATTCCACAATCATAAAGCAAAAATTGTTCCTACAGGGACCATGCTGTCAGAACACAACTTGGAGGACTATCGCAGCTCTGGGGACCATAAGCCACCATATTCATATGCTGCACTAATCTGTATGGCCATGGCAGCTAACAACAATAAGATGACATTGTCTGCCATCTACAAGTGGATCCGAGACAACTTCCTATATTACCGTAACGCAGATCCTAGCTGGCAGGTGAGAGAGAGAGAGAGTGAATTATAATAAATAGGTATTAAAAAGGATAAAGTGACCCATTAATGATAACTTCTATGATGAAAGGAAAGTTCATGTAACAAAATTATCATCACTTCATCATTTACAACCTAACACACATATCTAATGCTAACGATCCTTTAGAGCAGTGCTGTCCAACGTTCTTATGTACTCGGGCACAATTCACTGATGCCTATGGAGGTGCGGGTGCCACCACACACTACTACTACTACTACTACTACTACTACTACTACTACTACTACTACTACTACTACTAATAATAATAATAATAATACAATTTTTCTAAAATATTTAACAGTACTCAGACATTCAAAAATGTCTCTTGTTTTACAATTTGAATTAATATTAAAAATCGGCTCAAATATATGTGGTTACGGAGGGCACCAGAAAAATATACCACAGGCACCATGGTGTCCGCGGGCGCCGCGTTGGACAGGGCTGCTTTAGAGGTTTGGGATAATGTTTGATTTATATCAGTTTTAGGATTCTATGTTTAACCTAAGCTGCTGCAAAAAAAAAGTGAAGACAAAGAACTAGAATACAAAATGTCAATAAAGTTGAACCCAGTTATTTGATGAAAGGAGGACAGTCTGCTTGCATAAGTCAATATCTGTATCATATATATTCAGAAAATAGACAAGGTCTAACAGAATTGTTGATTAAATTATTTTGTGTGCCACAGAATTCAATACGACACAATTTGTCCCTGAACAAATGCTTTGTAAAAGTTCCACGCTCCAAAGATGAACCTGGAAAAGGAGGTTTCTGGCAATTAGATATGGACCGGCTGGAAGAGGGACAGCGTAGCAAGAGACGAGGCATCACACGTGTCACGTCCCGTCGATGTCGGAATCACTGTTCAATCAAACGAGTACAGAATACCTCAAGTACACCATCCACCACACACGAACCAGTTACCAGCACAGCTCCAGTTATCCATCAAGCATCACCTGAGCCACCATCCATTGTTATTGAAGATGAAGAGTTTGCAACATTGTTACGTGACTACGAGGGATGGGATGAAAGGCAAATGGAATGTTTGAACGTGTATCTAGACTTGCTATAGTGAACTGAGACTGACTGCCAGTACTGCTACCTGCTTGTGGTTTGGGCCTCAGCAACTGCCTACAACTTATATCAGAAGCTACCACTAGGCTGGAATTAGGGCTTTTTGTCCAACATCCCCATGAACTATGCATTTTCATGGAATCCCAATATTTGGTATCAAAGCTATTGAGGAGGAAGGCAACAGTCACATCACAAAAGAAATTACTTACTAAATAGACAACATGATTTTAATGCTGCATAACAAAAATCATCTGATCGTAAAAATACAGAAGTAAATTATATTATTTGTCAATTTTCAATTCATAAGGAACCCCGAAAAAGGTTTCACCAATATCCCAAATGCAAACACATACAATTTTCTTATAATTAAAATAACAATTTGCGGAAGTATATCAAACTGCAATTGTGTTGTAGAGATATAAAAAAAAAGTCTAATATTGAACAAAAGTAGGAATTCAAAGTGAGAGCTTCACAGTTACAAATAACCTATGCATTTATGGTGACTACAATCCAAGAAAGCAATCAACAAGTTATTTTAAAAACCCTCCATAATTGGTTAGTATCACAGACAGAAAGTATTACCAAAACTTACATTCTGTTTCTGTGTGTGTAAGGAACTGAAAACGATAACAAATGATGAGATTTATACCTGTAACATACCCTTTTGTACACATAGCAATTATGAATGCAAACAAAAAGGCAGTATAGGCTGAAGAGTATTATCTTCTGTGATATGGCACTATGCAGTCCAACAGTTCACTTACATTTTGGAGTAATGTAGTGCCTCCATCTTCAGGATTGAAGATATGCTAAGCAAGGAATGAACACGAAGCAAGCTGCAGCTGGTTCCTTACTTGTTACTTGCATAGCACATCTTCAGCCATGATGATGGAGACAGTACTTTGCTCCAAAATGTTGATGAACTACCAGGCTACACAGCATCACATTCTAGAAGGTAGTATTGTTCTTGGTCACTACTGAGAGAACCTCTGATCCAATGCAACATACAATATTAGTTTGAAACTTTAGGTATCAAAATTCTTTTTACTTTTTGTTACTGTTCCTGTACACACATAAAGTAACTTTCATCTCCCCATGTTTGAAGCCTATGAGAACATCTGTGGAGACACACTTACAAGTAGCAGGAGCTAATATATCTTATACACTGGTTGATCCATTTGAAGTACCTCGGTGCCATTTATATCACATAACTATGCCTGGATCTGAAGGCACTGGAAATGAACAAAATGAAGATGTTAACATACAAAATAACTAGTTTTTAGGTACATTTCATAACTAAGAAGGTTTCTTATGTGCAGAAAAGGGAGCAGCAGAATACATATCTCTACACAAATTGAAGTTCAACTTGTGTACATTCATTTTGTGTTTACATTAACACTAAGAAAGAAATAGCATATGTGAAAGAAGCATTGTTTTTTAATATACTACTCAATGCATTTTCAATGAGAAGAGGCCATATACCAGACTGTCACATCCATAATTGTGCAAACTAAGAAACAAAAGCAATCAAACTTTAAATGTATATTACTATTATTGTTACTGTTGCACGCAAGTTTTGTTTACATATTATTTTTTGAGTCATATATTGTTTATAAGATTTGAGATATAAAATATCAAAAGCATATTTAGAAAAGAAAAATGTAACATCAGACTATTATTTTGTAAGTGCACATCTTGTGTATAACTAAACAAAAAACTGAAAGCACTAGATTGATTTAATCCTTAAGAGCATAACTGGATATTCTGACAACCGATCTAACACCTCAGACAACAAGTGAGCTATGAATGATGATACCATTTCCACCCCTACATTTAAATGTATGTCTCCTCCCTCTGCTAAAACACCCATCACTCTCTCTCTTCGACTGGCTGCCACTTTTCAGTTATGCTTTTGTTGAAATTAATGTGACTCAATTACAGATACTAAAGATGGGGTATTAACATGAAAACAAATTTATTCAGTGAGGAAAGGAATGCTATTCTTAAAATGAAATTTTTTTGATGATAAGAAAACAAAGAGGCAGGCATAGTACAACCATCACACATATCATAACAAAACTGTCATTCCCTTACTCACAAAGGCTGGAGAAGCGATTTTTAAGCTATGAAAATAAATGCATTGCTTTGAAGAATTCTGAAGGTTTTAGATCCATTGGTCATACAGTGCACAGTTACATTTCTACTAGTTTATATTTTATTTGACAATGTGATCAGTAATCTAGAGTGTATGGTTTCATATACTGGATGGTGAGTAATGAACCAGAAAGGATGTGAAACGAAGTGGTCATGGCCTTATTTATGGTACTATCCCAGAATTTACATGGAGGAACTAAGGAAAATCACAAAAAAATCTTAGCCAGGATAGTTGATGTCCCAGTTGAGATTTAAACCTCACACTTCTCAAACACAAATGAGAAGCATTACCACTCAAGTTAACTTGTTTGGTCACTGCTACTAGTGTTCTAATAGATTCCACTACACTAAACTCTGTACATCAGTACGGAAGAGATGAACGGTTATTTTTGATTGAAGACAGAATTATGTAGCAATGGGGCACTGACAGCTGTTGCATACAGTATAAATTATAAGTACAGTTTAACCCCATACCACTTCCATATTTACCTGTGGCATATATTCCACTTCTTTTCTAGGGAATCATTAATTTTCAGCACTCTGCCTAAACTTAACATAAAGCTTCTATATGATAATCATTTTTATGGGGCAGCTGGGGAGAACCAAAGCACAAGTATTGGATTATGTACTGTTTGTTGACTTCCATGCTACGCATCAGTAGATACGTGGGGCTGCGGCAATATGATATGTATATTATTAATAGGTAAAATATAATGACAAGGCAATCCGTCCATTTTTGTCTCAGCTGCACAAGGCTTCATTTTTAAAACACAAAAACCAGGAGTTCTGCACATTGATATTTGGAGCACAGTGAAAGTTGAAACTGATCTAACAAATGCTTGTAATGAACTTCAAACATTTTTCAGTCAGTACTCAAAACACAACAAAATTTTAATTCCTGAAATATATCAGTCATAAAATTCACTTATGTAACTAATTTTCAGCAATAAAGTTGGATAATGTCTAACTTATGAGAAGTGACAGTAGATGTTGTTTAAAGTGTAATGTTATCTGATGAAAGAAAATGTTACACCAAGTTGCGAGATTCCGGTTCTCACGGCGAGGACTATGGAAATTACTATCTTCTCGGATGTTATGCCATGTAGTCTCACAGAACTTTACCAACATTTTGGAGGTACCTATTGCTTCCATCTTCAGGTTTTAAGCGGTAAGCCAAGCAAGCAAATAGGAAAGCAGGAGTACCTGCTGCTTCTTTGGTCAGTTTCCTCTTCAATCCTGAAGATGAAGTGACAGTAAACTCCTACCAGACTTGTCATAACATCACACAAGATAGTAATCTGCAGATGAAGTTCATTACAGCAACTGACATGTGTGACTTTCATGCTTTTACACAGTGTTTGGAAGAGTTTCGTGTTATGATGTCTCACATTGTTGATGGAGTGTGGTGCACAAATATAAGTCTAAGGCATTTCTGTGATTACAGTATCATATTTTGAAGTTCATTTGTTTCATGTTCTTTACTTAAATTGCAAGTCTGGAAGTAAACCAAACTTACAAACACTTCTTATGCAACAATTAAGAAATTATATTATAAGCTTGTGAATTTACTTAATAATATTTGTTTATTCCTGTCATTAATTAGAAATGGTATGGAGGATCCAATACTTTTCACAGATGCAAATAACCCTTTCACTGCTGATTTAAAAACAAATTTTCTATCTATACAAAATTAACTCAGAACACACACACATTCTGTGAATGACCTAGATATATATTTTTGGATAATGGAAACTATATGTCAACAACGGTGAAAGGATTAAAATGGCCACAAGGAGAAAGTTTCCCTGGATACATTAAGCCAACAGAGATTAGATGTATCTCAGCAGATCCTATCCAGGTTCATATATGGTATTTGTATAAGAAGGCAAAAACTCACGATGAATGTTGTGATTATACAGTACTATACTCGTATATCTCTGGACACTTTGTCCTCTTGCCAAGTCTGTGATTATCAGCATTGTATTGGTACTGACACAGAGAAGGTAATATATCTCATACATTATGAAAGTTCTTTTGGTCATATATATGTGCCAGACATAAGATGATGTTGAAGGAAAGACCCATAATATATATTTGACTTCTGCCTAAAAGCATAAATGTAACCAACTGGCAGGAGACTTGGCCAAAAGAACAATTAACATTTTGAGGACAGAATTACATTTCACTGCTCTGAAGTATATCCAAGTCTTCTAAACTGTAAAAAATGTGTAGTTTAGAGAGAGTGCAATTATTCAGAGGATCATTTCACTATCTTCAGCATTAAAGAGCAAGCCAAGCAGGAAACCAGCAAAAAGAGATGATTTCTTCTTTTGCTTACTTTTGACCCTGAAGATGGTGGCGATATTTTCTGCTAAAACATCAGGCTCTCTCTGAGTTACATGGCATTACAACCCAGAAGACTATACTCTTCACAGTCACAGCTATAAGAACCTCAAATTCAACAGCAACACTAGTCTAAACTGCTTACTTGTTTACTGAGTGGACATTGCTGGATTTAAAACTGAGCTCATCCTCAAATAGGTTGGCAGTATTTGGAAAAAAATACATCTTGCACATAAACAATTGAATGTACTAAAATTTTAAAACCACAAAACATCCAAATGAAGAAGCATAATTCAGTATTTCTATTTACAGGTAACCAAACAACAATAATCTTCCCATGTAACTTAAGCTATTAAGCAAATCTAAATTTTATTAAATGATCTACTACAGTGAAAATTCTATTCTTCTGGGGAGCAATGGATGTGAACAGTAAATTGAGGAAAATCTTAAATGGACGAAATTTAACATTGAAACAATTGACTTGGGATCAGTATAACTGAATGTTAAATATGGGAGGATTTAGAGATGGGGAACATATAACATGGCAAGATCTACTGTGCTTCTTTTTATTTTTCTGATGACAGAACTTTTCTTCCAGCATCTTTTCACTTATTGAAGAGCAAAGTTGAATTTTCAAAAGATAATGTGCATAAAGACTTCTGTTCTGCATAATGATAGATTATAATTAATTGTACAATGGTTACTTTATGAGCTGGATCAAAATTTTTTGTCATCAGACTCATTACCTTTTATTTCTTCAGCACTGTTCAATATTTGTATTGCCTCACTATCATTAACAGTAAATCATATCAGGAAATTTCTTGCACTGAACACAATGGTCTACAGGTAATTCTCTACTCATATTCAGCAAGTGCTTGGTATGAATCTTGGCCATATTAATGGCTATCCTGAGGTTTTTATGGTTTTCCTCAGTCCTTCCACTCAAATACACGATATTAACTCATTTAGGCCACAACTGCTTCCTTCCAAATAATTTCAAATTCATTACTCATCCTGCCACTAACATAATACAGTCCTGACAAGTCTTTAAATAAATCCCCCTTCCCAAAAGACATTTTCACCTTTCCTCAAGTAAACGATGATTAACCTAGTGAAGACAGAAGTAAAAGTTCCAGATTAGCAGAAGTCCACTGTAGTAAATTATACACAAAAGAAACACTAACGGCAAGTTTTCAATACAGGTACTGAGGTTCTCATGGCAGCGATTGTCCTGGGTTGACATCATGTAGTCTTATAGGCAAATACCAACACTTCAGAGGAACATGCTGTTCATTCAACACCTCCCTTGCAACCTTCATATGAAAACCAACTGACTTCTCACCCTGAACACTTTGACACTGAAGACAGAAACAGGATCTTCCTCTGAGATGTTTGTATCTGTCTACAAGACTGAACGGTGTAACAGACCTAAAGGCAACAAACTTTTTAATGTCGAGCACTTTAAAAAATAATTTTTCAATAAGGAATTCATATTTAGCTGAAGTGAATGTGTAAATTTCAATGCAATTAACAGTATTAGAGACAGAAAGCATAGCAGGGAGAATTTTACTATTGTGCACTAACAAACCTGCTGATAAATATCGGTTTTAATGGTACAGAGCAATATAAAGTTTCTACTGTCAAGCAGTCAAATTCTGATGTCTGACAACCATATGTGGAAGCTGGAAAGAATCCAATAGGATGACTCAACTTTTCATGTTATCTCAAATATGCAACTGTGGGTTGGGATAGGATAGGCTGTGATGGTATATTTCATTAGTGATTGAATATTCAAATCTTCAGGAATAATGTTCTGAGTGAAGACAAAATGGAAGCTTGTAGTTCATCTACTTTCAAAATGTGGATGTCAACTTAATGCAATGCTATATGGCTTTTGTTAAATATAAAATGTGTTTAGAACACACATGGGGGGTCCCAGAAAATCAATCACAAAAATAAAAATAAAAGAATGTAATAGTGAAGTGTCTGGGATACCATGTATATAAATTTGTTGTATGGTATGGAAACAGACCAAGGTACCCTTTAACTCTAAAAACCACCAATCAGATACAAGCATAAAAGTCAGTTGGGTATAACTATAGTGATGAACTCTGAATCATATCAAAGTACAATTTATTTAGATATTTTGAAAAAATCAACATGAATCAACTATGTTTTGTACTCCTTTTCCTCTCATGTTACAAGTACTCTGGCCTTTCCATTTTTACAGGTATTTCTAAGACAGAGAATCTATTTTATTTGCATTTGGAGTCACATCATTCCAACAATTCAGACATTAAGAACCACGAACCACTAAGAAGTTCATAGATAAATTTTTACTTCTTGTTTACGAAGTTTTTCTCTTCTACGTAAATTAGGCAAAAACTAGTTATTTTCACAAACTGTGATTCTAGACACTTTAACAGTCAAAGAACTAACAGGATGAGTCAGCATCTGTCTCCCCCCCCCACTGACCTATATACATTCGGGAGGAACAAGATTTGACACAATTTACCAATACACCGGGCATTCTGAATATTTTGATAATTTTGCTCCAGTGCAAGTTTAAATCCTGAAAAGTTTTATTTATCTCTGCTTCAGAGCAAAAGTTGCAAAAATGTGGCATAATTTCTTCCAATACTGACTTGGACCAAAAATTTACACTCTTCATTAAATTACTTACTTTACAAGCACAGAGTTGATTATATTAAGTACTCATTAACATAAAAAACAATATTTTCAAGGGCTCAAAATGTTATACTCACATATGTTTCATATTTGTGATTGATGTTTTTTTTTTATTATTAGGCAGGGATTTATCTGTGATTTGTAATATAAGTAAGAGAACACATTAAGCTCTGAACTGAGCTCAGACATTACAATTTCGCTTAAGTTTATATATATGCATCCTTATTCTGTATGACAACGCAACTGTTGGCCCCCTGACAGTGCAAATCTGTACTTTCAGTTACCATATTTCAAGCTGTATTCTGAACAAAATGTTATAATGTTCAAGAATGCCACCAGTTACACTACCTCTAAGTGCAAAATTACTAACTTGTAATAATTGTACCAAACAGTACAGAATCATGCACATGGCGTTTCTGACTTATGTTTCAACTTACAATAAATTCACAACATTAATATACTGACACATTGGGCCACACCATAGCTCAAGAAGTTAGTTGCTGGCTTCCCACTGCGGCGGCTGAGGTTTGATCCCGGGGTCTGGTCAAGTGGGATTTGTGGTGGACAAAGTGGTGCCGGGGCAGGTTTTCTCTGAGCACTTCAGTTTCCCCTGCCAATCTTCATTCCATCAATTGCTCCACAATCATCCTCACTTATCATCTGGGGCTCGTACAATAGGCCAGAAGCGGCTGTAGTACAAGGTACTTAGTCCCACCTCACTAGCAATAATTCTGATACCTTGAAATCAACACCCAATATCATATGCCAGACACGTGATATTTAACATCTGATATTGTTTCAACCCTCCAAATCTACTTTCTTGTGTGCATTTCAGCCAGTATTCAGTTGTCTGACATGACTCCTCAGTTACCACCATCTTGAGTGCCTGAAATGTGTTTACCAATATTATCTGGACCTTACTGTGTTCTTTTTCGGGGTACATGGTAGTGTAGTTGGTTGAGGCACTATGCTACAAGCTGGAAGGTCATGGGTTCGAGTCCCAATGAGGTGGATTTTTTTGAATTTACCAAATCCTTCCACTGGTACTATGGCCCTGCAGTCAACTCAGCCTCTAATGGAAATAAGTATCAGGAATCTTCCTGGGGAATAAAGGGCAGCTAGTGTGTAAGGCTGACAACCTTACCGCCATCTGTGAGCCGATTATCTAGAGAAAATGCGGGAGCCTTGATGTCTCACAACCCTATGGGCCTTCACGGCCTGTTACAGGGATAGCTTTACCTTACTGTTTCTTTTTACACACATACAATTGTATATAGGGATATGGAAGGAAACAGTAACATACAAGGATAAAAGTGATTGTGGTGCTATTGAAAAGTTCAAAAAGCATATGCTTGATGGTATGGTACTGGACAGTACCTAAATTTCTGACATGTAAGTCTATCAGATACTGATACTGTGCATATGATACTTCAACTTACATTGCGAGTTTCAAGAATGCATCAGGGTCAGAAGTCAGGAGCAGCCTATATTTTTCCACTCAGTTTATTACTTGGGACTACAAAACAACTTTGACAAATTGCACATTGCTTCACAGTGACTGGTATATGGTATACAGAACTTAATTTCCTTGGATAGCCACATCTTGGATGCCCTGTTGTCTTAATTTCTCTTATTACATTATACTTTGCATATTGACAATGCAATGGGAGGGATTAATTTTTATCAGTCCTTTTTGACCTACCAGTTTGAATAATATATCTAGCAACAACATTTTTAGAACTGTATATACACAACAGAAATTATGTTAAACTACTTAACAGGTCTCATATAACAGTAACATATTCATAATCCTGAATTAAACTTTCCATTTGATCAGGCTCAAAATAAAAAATTTGCTTTTCCAAAATCTGAAAGGATTATTTTACATTGCAGTATGCACTTTGTTATTTTAAAATTTAAAAACAAAATTCACTACTTCATACATGTATTCAAATCCCAATCATTTATTGCTATTTTTGGAGTATGAAATTGTGGAAGGAAAACAGTATCTTATTCAGCCCAATGAATGGTCAGCTTGATGCTCTGGAGGAAAAGCTGCCTGCATCAAATGGACAGAATGTTGGACTGATACCATTGAACCCACTGAGTTGTACTAGACCTGGTGATAAAGAGAAATGTTCCTATGTTCTTGTCAAAAATCAAAACGATGCCAGTACACCTCAGGTTCCCCACCTTCCTATATGAGTACAACCATAATACAAAAATCTGCTACACATCAATGCAGATCACAAGAGAATACATTTAACTTCATAAATTTTTGTAATATGCAACACATAAAAAAATATGTAACAATATACAAGCTGATAATGGTTGCACTGTTCTGTGTCTTTGCCTATACAGTATAATTAGACCCTTGTACTGGCTTAAGAACAAATATGGTAACTCAAAGATGTTCAAAACTTTTCACAGTATGGAGTATTTAGGTATTGGTTGTGAATGACATACAGGAATGCACTGAACTGTACTCTATAATTTTTGGTTGTGACTTCATCTGCAGGCAATGTTTAAATTTATCATAAAACAAAAAATAGAAATGCAAGAACAAAGTGTATTAATCATATAATAACTGTATTTTCACATTAGCAATATTGAAAATAGCATGCACCAGTATTTTCTAACAGTATTTTTATTAGTATTACTAGCAGCTCAAATTGTTTAGCATTAGGGATGGGCACAGGCACTCAAACATTGCTATGTTAGGAAAGGGAGGTGCAGCCTGAGATGGAATGTTTAAGATTACTGACATAAAAATGAGAAATTTGAAACGAAATATACAAGAAAACCATTCTTTGAATGAAATTTTATAAAATAAGGACTCACTGGTTTGAAAAGACCCAAGAAAAGTGGATGCAGCTATTATAGTCATAAAGAACATTATTACATTCATTAAAATATGTAGATCTTTTATAGTAAAATTCATCATGAAAAACCCATGACATGCAAAAGATCTGTTCATAATTTATATACATACATAATAATGTGCATTAGTTCTTTATCAGGAATTTACCTAGCTAGGATTAGCAATCTCTTTGCACTCAACTGAGACACACTATCCATGTACGTATATTACAGGTTTTTAACAAAGTTCTTAAACAATGAATTTATACAATCTACCTTCATGTGACTCATATGGTTCAGTTAACTATGCCAATTAAAGCTGACTGATATGAGATACAACACTGTTTTGAGCATATGTTTCTTGTTTCTTAAACACAAAGGAAAAACTGTCAATTAAGCACAACATGAAGGTGTATTACAGAGTGTAGGTATAGCTAAAAACAATAAAAGTGAGTGGTCAGCTTCATGATCCAGCCCCTTTTCCCCTGGGGAGAGGGCCCACAGTACCTATTAAATAAAAGGCTAGGTGGGTCCCACAGCTGATCCAGATGCAGTGCAGATGCTTGTGCCTGCAATCAAATCACAGCCATCCAGCCCATAACCTAGCTCTATACTGAGTTATTCTGAATTCTTCTTTCATTAAATGAAACTATGCTAATCCTAAAAGTAATACAGCACTGATTAAGAAATGGCATGACTAAGAACAGTGAGATGGGCAGCTCTGGTAGCCTCTCATAACGTGTTCTATCTGCATTATCCTGGAGGGCTAAGAAAGTCCTAAACAAGTCAGTTAGGACAGCTGGTCTCTTAGCTGAGTGCTTAGTTTCTGCATATATAGACAAGCGCTAATCACAAAATTGTGACTTTTGTTATAGTGTAACTAGATTTATAACACTGTATTATGTGCCTTGATGAAGTATGAACCATGACAAACTTACATAATATTTTCTTCGTCCAGTCCAACTGAACTGTTCTCCAGTGGCAATGGTCACTACCTACATTCACAAAAAACCCCAGTTTGAATCAAGCATTCACTTACATCAGGTACTGCTCAGATATCTGAAAAATTATATGTACAGCTCCATCTTTGAATATCTAAGAGATATTTACATCTTCTTATCCCCACCCTATTTAATATATGTCATGATATAAGAAATCTGCCTCGATTTGTGAATTGGACAATTTAATTTATGCATTTCATCTCTAAGTATTTTACATGAGGATGAAGACAATGCTGTTATGTATATTTATCTTGTATAACAACATAAGCTAAGGGTCTCAATTTTTTACATATTCAATATGGCTGCATCTCCCTTCACAGGAACATGCAATATTGAAAGAATCCGTCCATACAGTGTCTTTCTGGAGAGGGGTATTGCATAAACTTTTACCAAAGTGGGAACAGAAGGAAAACTAATGACATACATTTTAATTAATATCTTCTGAATGAAAGAGAATTGTTCTAGTATTTTCCTTAATGATCAAACTCAGTTTCTGGCAATGTATTTTGAAGCCTGGATCTGATTTATCCCACATATTAGGTTAGAGAAATTTGTGAACTATTAAAAAAACATTGTTTCAAATGTGCTGTAGCCCATCTTGTAATCAGAGGATGTAAGATAAATCCTTTGTCTTCTAGTGTGTGTGTGTGTGATATCACTTTGCACCCAAGGAGGAAACAGATTGATGAAGAGTTAGCAGGAAACTTAAAATGATGACAAGTGAAATAACCTTAAAATTGTTTTACCTCTTAAACTTGTATAAATCAACTCAGCATATCAAGTTTATGTTGAATGATGCCCATACAGACACATGTATTTAATAGACCAAAAAAATCTTGAGTCATTTCTAAACATGTTTAACTTTCAGAGGATGACAGAAATGAGGATTAAGATAAATTTCTAATGCAGTAATGAGGTCATGTTAGTGTACAGGCAAATCTGATGTTATTCACAATTTCTCTTGGCCAGAGTCCTGCTGCCAATATTTCTTGAATACAAGATAAGCTACATAACACAAAACTACTGGAATGCAAGGAAATCATGAAAGATAAGTTAAATAGTCATGACTGAGTCAAAGATATCAGCCTGACATTTGCCTGGACAGAATGAGAGACAAAATGAAAAAGTACAAATTGTCATATATAGTTTAATAGACCAATGCAATCTCAAAAATATGTAAAGAACATAATTTTACACTACACTGATCACCACACAATGTTCAGAGCATACTAAGCATGTTTATTTTTAATAATATGTGTCTGCATATATTGTTCATTCTCATAAGAGAGTTTCTTACTAACTTTCATTCTCTGTTGATTCCAGCACATTGAGAATGACGTGTGGGTGTGCTGGCACAAGCTCACTAATATTTCTTCCGTCCATTTTAACAAACAACTATAGTATTAGTTATGAGTTTTAATGTTAGTAGAAAACTGAAAATCTGTTCTTTAAAGCAGGTAATCAAGTTTAAATATCCTTATATAGTAATTATAAGAAATCCTGTCAGACCAATGAAATACATAGCTTCAGGCAGGACTGAGTAATATGGTTCACTGTTTTTCTAAACAACTTATGAAATATTTGGTATGTGAGAACTATTACAGCAATGTAATTATGTTGCAATGCTAGACTTCGAAGACTCTGTTGTCACTAAGAATACATTGTTAGTAGCCATTCAGTTACAGGAGCTAAGACTTTAAGATGGAGAACAAAATACATATCAGCGAAGAAGTCAGCTGGAAAAACTTTTATAGCTACAAACAAATTGCAAAAATTCTTGTCTGATGCTAATTATACTTAATTGACCCAAAAGTCAGCAATGGGGTGTGCAGAACTGGAATGCCACTCTGGTACCTCTTAAAATCCACAGCTCTTAATTTTATTATGATTCATAGTTAAACCTTGGTACCAAGTATCAGCTGCCAAAAAAATATATTTCAGATATGATTTAGGGTGGGGGAAAAAAAAAGGCAACCATAACCTAAATTTTATCATTGAGATTCACAAACAAATTCTGCTATTTGAACATAAATGAGATTCATGAAGAAAGTTGTCTTCTGGGTTTAGGCACCGTGTATTCTTCGTTTCTTCATTGTCATCGCCGTGAAAACCTCAAAACTTACATAAATGAGATTCCTTTACCAAACCCATCTTTCCTAGCTATATTTGAATATTTTCCAACATTGTAGAGGAGCATTTGCATTTGAGCTTAGAAATTCCAATGACCAATGAAATTAGCTAACTGAACATTCATACTATGAAAATATTAGCCCTAAGTGCATGGCATTTCAGGTTTTCACCAAACATGACATGGTTAAAATTATGCCTCTTTGAAGAGCCAAGCAAGACATGTAATTTTTGCATACTGGTTTCTAGCAAACCCTGAGGCTATGTCATTTTATTATAAAACAAATTTAGTTAATCAATACAGGAATAAAAAATACAATTTAATTTTGTAAAAGGGGACAATGTTACCAGGTCAATATGTGGTCCCTCTTTTTATAATTGTGATGTGCAACAGGAAAATATCCTGCAATTTTACACTTCAACTTGGTTCTGTATAAACAAAAAAGAATCTGCACAGATTCTAAAGTTGTGATGATGTTTAATGTTTTGTATTTTTCATGTAATCACTAACAGAAAACACCACAAAACTTTTTTTTCGTGCGAGTCCTAAATTTGCACTGTTTATTGGGGAACCATGACTTAATCATGACCCAAGTGAACCAGATCTTAACAAAATGGTGTACTGAATTCTGGTAAAGAGAATTTCTATCTACTACAAAAAAAAAAAGGGTATCAGTATTTTCTAATTAATTCTTTGCTAAGAAGACAGTTCCTGAGTGTGGTTCATGAATCTGACTTTGTGAATTTTTTACTTTTGACGGTCAATGCAAACATATCACCTCTAAAGCTGAAAGAAAGCTATTAGAACAGCTGACTTCCCACGTTGTTATGCCAAACGGAGCGTACTGCATTGTATACATATGAAATTAAAATGGAATAGGATATGAGAGGAAGCCGTCCTAATTCTTGTTCAGTATGTTAGAAATTATTACACTACTTTTTCATGCATGTGAAAGTACACTATTATTTTTTAAACACTACAATCTCATATCACTATAAAAACAGTCTCAAAGTACAAATTGATTGGAAAATTATTTTATTAACCACTGTAGAACTACACTAAAATCATTCTTCCCCTTAACCCTTCAAACAACAGTTAATATTTTTGAAGATAAAAGATAGCCACATTTTAATTCTGTTTGTAAGCTCTTCAGACATGAGACAGACATGAAATGCAACAGCAATTATATTCAGTAAATGAAACATTCTAAAGCGCTATGTCTAAGACACGATAGATTTCCACGTAATTAGGAACTGCCTCTCAGTAATGAGACATATATGTTTTTGTGTGTGAAAAAAATGGATATAGTGATAACACATAAATACTGCTATTTATTTTCTGTGAAATGTCACTTGTTTTTATGAGTGCAATTTATCAACAGGTTATTGGAAAATGTCATTTATATTTGTCAAATGAAGCAGTAAGAACGTTTTTTCATATTCAATCAGTCTCAATTCTCACTGACACTTTCTGTCAAAACATTACACATTTCTATAGTGCAACTTATCAACAAGTGGCTGCTATCACTTTCATTCACAAAAATGAGTGTTGATTGTTATTTTTCAGAAAGTCAATCGTTATTCTTAAATATTCTCCATGCTAAAATAAATAAATTGCCTTATATCCGTCCATTAAAAACTCAGAAATCAACAGTGTACAAAATATAAAGATATGAGGCCTTGTAACACAAAAAACCTATGAACCAAACACGCAGAGAAAAAAAATATATGTAAGTTTTGAGGTTTTCACGGCGATGACTATGAAGAAAGTTGTCTTCTGGGTTTAGGCACCGTGTATTCTTCGTTTTGGCCGATGTTTCAGAGGAACGTCGGCCAAAACGAAGAATACACGG